TTCAAGTCCTTCTCACTTTCAGCAAGCAAGGTTGTGTCGTCTGCATAACGAAGATTACTGATGAGTCTTTGTCCAACCCTGATGCCACATTCCTCTTCGTAGGACCCAGCTTCTCAAATAATCTGCTCAGCATACAGATTGACTAGGTATGAAAAAAGGATGCATCCCTCACCAACATGATTCCTAATTTTAAAACATGCAGTGTTCCCTTGATCTGTTGGCACAACAGCCTCGTGTTAGATGGAGAACATCCTGACAGATGAAGAAAAAATTGTCAACAGTTTCTTCTTACTTGGATCCACAGTCAGGAAATCAAGTGTCATGTTAGCACTGAGGAAATCCTGTCAAGGACCTCTCCAAGGTGCTGAGACACAGTGATGTTAAACACTAAATAGTGGAAGATTCAGGTCATGATCTCTGCAATTACTTGCTCTAGATCTGAAAGTTGGACAGTGACAAAGGATGACAGGAGAATTGATGCCTTTGAGTTACGGTGTTAGAGAAGAGTACAGCATATCTATGGACTGCCAAAAGAACAAATATGTCTTGGAGAAAGTGCAGCCAGAGTGCGCCTTAGAAGGCCAGAATGATGAAACTTTGTCTTACATATCTTGAGGACATCATTAGGAGGGGCTGGTCCTTGGTAAGACACCATGCATTGAAATTTAAAAAGTCAGTGAAAGAGAGACCCTCAAGATGGACTGACACTGTTACAGCAATGAGCTTGACTCTATCAGTGATGGTGGAGGGTAGGCACAGTTCAGATCTGTTGTTCATAGGGTTGCTGAGTCACACTCAGTGACACCTCGTAACAACAACATAAGCCCTATCCTCCTAGAAGGAATTAACCAAGTTGCCACCCTTAGTTCTCCAAGACAGGTGTGGGTGGACTGAGGGAGGAGGCAGGAAAACTGGTATCAGAGATGGAGGAATGGTACAGCAGCTTGGCATTTGGAACATTATCAATCTCCATTTTATAGGAACCAATATATTTTTCCCCCTAAGACAGACTGACAGTCACTGGAGCAATAAAAGGGTCACTATAACTTAACAAGTCTTAAAACCCCCCATTTTTATTGGTTTGTATCAATCATTTGTATACATTGTTTCACTCATATATATTTTATACAATCATTATATACATTGTATTTTATATAGTTACTATTGAGTTGTACCTTTCATCTCATCTTTTCAAGCCCCATTGAATCTTTCCTACTCCTTTATTCCCTGTCTGCCCCCTAACTTCTGCTATCCTATTGAGTCCCTTTTTATAGTCTCCTTTTTGAACATTTATACACATCTTGCTCAGTTAACCTTTATTTTCACAATAATGGTTGTTGTGTACCATCGAGTTGGAACCAAGCCTAGGAGGAGATTGCCCATCTTTTTCCTGTGGACTAGCTGGTGGATTTGAACCACATGCCTTTGGGATTGCAGTGCAATTTCCTACTATTAGGCCACCAGAGCTGCCTAATCATTGTAAAAAATTATCTGTACAGGGTGCAAAATGGGATTATTTCAGTAATTTCCCTTTCAGATATTATTCATTGCTGCTATCTAGAAACATTCTGATCTCAAAGTGTTAATCTTGCATTCTTCAATTTTGTCAGATTATTGTGCCACCTTTAGTGGCTTGCTTAGAGATTCTTCAGAATTTTCTATATATAGAATATAATCTGTGAACAGTTTTACTTCCTTCTTTCCAGTTTGGATAAGTTATTTTTTTCTTGCCAAATGGCTCTAGCAAGCAGGTAAGTATCTTTTTTAGTATTGATTTTGAAATGATTTTGTAGTGAAAAGATATACTTTTATATATTTTCAGTCTTTCATATTTGCTCAGCTTTCTGTTACTGTGCTTGGAATAAGACCCATGTTGGTGAATTTTGTGTGCACTTACAGAGAACATACAATCTACTGTTTGGGTGGACTCTGCAGTCAGTTAAGTCAAGTTAGTGCTTAATGTTGTTCTGCTATTCTGTCTTCTTATTGATTTTTTTTTGTCCCCTTATCTATCTGTTATTGAGAACGAAGTTTTAAAGTCTCCAGCTATAATCATAGAATTACCAGTTTCTCTTTTCAGTTCTGTCCACTTTTGCTTTGTGAATTTGGAAGTGTTATGAGGCATGTGTGTATTTAGAATTGTGTCTTGATGGTAAGTGAGCCTCTGTAATTTTTAAATAGTTCTTGGCCATCAGTGATAGCCTTTGCTCTAAAGTCTACAATGTCTAAGAATAATACCACCACTCCACTCTGCTTTAGTGTATTATTTTTACAGCCAGACTAAATTTGAGCCTTGCTTTTTTTTTATCTGAAAATCCTTGCCTTTTAATTGCTTAGACTCTTTACTTTTAACAGGTTTATTGCTACCACTAGATTGAAATCTACCTTTTTGTTATTTGTCCTCTATCTATTCCATCTTGTCTGTTTCTTCTGCCTCTTTTATTTTTTGCTATTTTGTCTTTAGTTGTTGGATTATTAGCAAGTAGTTTCATAGTTGCAATGTGGCTTATAATATAGATCAGTTTTCCACCTTTGACTATACTGTTGAGTCAAATATCATGTATGATGTATTCATTAAGAAAAAAAAAGTTTTCCCAGAGGTACGTGGTTCAAATCCACCAGATGCTCTGCTGGAGAAGGAGGAGCAATCTCCTCCTGTACCAGTCATAGCTGATTTGCCGGTATACACAAAACATAAGGAAAAAAAGTTTATGTTCTCTCCTTTCCTGTCATTCCCTGTGCTATTGGGAGGCATTTTAATGCTGAACATATTGTAAATCTTACAATGTATTTTAGTGTTTTTCCTTTAGAAAATTATTTCTATTTTAGAGATTAACTATTTCTTGATGTGAAGTTTGCTGTAATTCTTAGTTGTAACTTACTTATTTATCTTTTTTCTGGTTGTCACTATAATTTTCTCTTTATTTTGATGTTTCACCACACATTTATTTTATTTTAGCACTTTGATATACCAAGTGTATTTCTCTTTGTATTTCATCCTGCCTCTGAGATATGCCAAGCTTCTGCTGTATTTTATGTTGTATTTCTTACAGAAAATTTTCAGTAATTGGCTTTCAAAATGGTTTCTTTCCCTCTGTTTTTACATTCTTCCACTGATACTCTTTATTTAGTTTAAAACTATCCCAAAACGTGTGGTTGGTTGATCTGTGTGTTTGTCTGTTTCTTCCTTTATTTCTTCTCTTTATGAATCAGTTTGATAATTTCTATTGGCCTACATTCAGTTTTGACTACTGATATCCCAGAAAACCCAACTGTGCAATGTGAAGCCTATACACAGACTAAGAAGCAGTTGTCTTAACAGAACAAGGGGACAATGCATGGTTTAAATTAAGGAAAGGTATGTACCAGGGGTGTATTCTTTCTCCATATTTAGTCTGTATGCTGAGCAAATCATTCAAGAAGCTGGACTCCATGAAGAAAAAGATGGTATCAGGGTTGGTGGAAGATCATCAAAAGCCTTCATGCACACGACACAACCATGCTTGCAGAAAGTGAAGACAATTTGAAGCACATACTGCAAGAGATCAAAGAGTACAGCCTTCAAAAAGGATTACATCTCAACATGTGGAAAACAGAAATCCTCACCACTGGACCAGTAGGCAACATGATGATAGATGGAGAAAAGATTGAAGTCATCAATAATTTAATTTTACTTGAATCCACAGCCAATACTCATGGTAGTAGCAGTCAAGAAATAAAAAGATGTGTTGCACTGGGGAAACCTCTATCAGAAGAGAGGAAGACCTAACAGTGGGGTGGGTTAATAACTGTAACAGAAGGCTGGAGCGTAACAGATCATGAAGCTGGCACAGGAGCAGACAGCTTTGTTTGTTTAGGTTTGCTGTTTGTCAGGTTGTTGTGAGTCCTAGGTGACTCGCTGCCTCAGCAACTTCAGTCTGACAGATTCCTTCTCTGCTGGAGCCCACCTGCCGCTGTCATGTGTCATCGAGCTGACTATCACTCATAGCAACCCTGTGTTAAATGAATTATTCATAGCTAATACAGATTCAGTCTTTTATTTCTGGTTTTATAGCATCTAGTTCTTTGCTAAAATTACTTGTTCAAGATGCGGTACTAGATCTTTTGAAATACTTACTGCTCATTCATTGCCACTGAATTGGAACTGACCCTCCAGTGGATTTTCTGAGGCAGTCAATTGCATGGGAGGAGACTGTCCATCCTTCTCCATAGGATTTGGTGGTGAATTTGAACATGCAGAGAAGTGACATCTTCAGGTTAGCAGTGCAACTCACTGTGGACTGTGCACCAGCGTTCCCTTTTGAAGCACACATTCTTGATTAAAGTTTTGATAGTTCTTGTGAGTTACCACTGACTCCTTTGTCTCGACGGTAATTCATCCCATTTTCTTGCTTGTGTGTCTTCTGATTTTTATTGACTGCTGTACTGTGTGTGTAAAAGGATAGCAGAGATGGAGGTGAAAAGTATGATCTACTTTTTTGAAAAACATCATGTGTTCTATTCTGTCCCGTCATTATTGCACTGAGCCAGCCCAAGGGAGCTTGGTGGCCTAGTGGGTGAGTAATTGCACTGCCAACCCAGGAAGCATTGGTTCAAATCCACCAGGTGCACTGTGTGAGAAAGATGGGCAGTCTTCCTGAAAGATACAGGGACAGCAATGAATTTTTGAGGGAGTCAGTCCAACAAGATTTGGTGGCAGTGTCTATCTCCTGGTTCCTCAGCTCTAACTGTACATCTGGTGAAGGTCTGTGTCAAACTCCTGCTCATACCTTTGTCCCTTCCCAGTTCTCAGGGTGGGACCACACAGGATACATCTGCCTATCCCAGCACCCCCAGCCCAGGGTCGGGGAGGGGACTGCAAGTGTGCAGCTGATCTCTGCAGCTCCATGTGTTCTGGACGGACTCGTGCTGAGTTTGGATTTTCAAAGCTCTTCTTCCTGTTTTAGGACGAGTGAGTCATCCCAGCACCCTCCTTGGAAGGCAGACCTGGGGCTGGAAGCATGTGGGGCATCCTGCGGAGCTCGAGGCTGGCGTGCGCGGGCCCTTGGCGGACTCTGGCCAGCGTGGCCTCCAGGAGCGGTGACGAGTACAGCTACGTGGTGGTGGGTGCAGGCTCTGCAGGCTGCGTGCTGGCCAGCCGCCTCTCCGAGGACCCCAGTGAGCGGGTGCTGCTGCTGGAGGCTGGGCCCAAGGACGTGTACGCGGGCAGCAAGCGGCTCCTGTGGAAGATCCACATGCCCGCGGCCCTGGTGGCCAATCTGTGCGACGACAAGTACAACTGGTGCTACCACACGGAGCCGCAGGCGGGCCTGGACGGCCGGGTGCTGTACTGGCCGCGTGGCCGCGTCTGGGGCGGCTCGTCGTCGCTCAATGCCATGGTCTACATCAGGGGGCATGCCGAGGACTACAACCGCTGGCAGCGCCAGGGCGCCGCGAACTGGGACTACGCGCACTGCCTGCCCTACTTCCGTAAGGCACAGGGCCACGAGCTGGGCGCCAGCAGGTACCGTGGTGGCCAGGGGCCCCTGCGCGTCACCCGGGGCAAGAGCAACCACCCTCTGCATCAGGCTTTCCTGGAGGCGGCACAGCAGGCCGGCTACCCGTTCACTGAGGACATGAACGGCTTCCAGCAGGAAGGCTTTGGCTGGATGGACATGACCATCCACGAAGGTAGGGTACATACCCCCCCCCCCAAATCGGCCTGGTTCCAGTCCCAGCATGATCAGTAGGAAGGACAGCATGGTGTTGTTAAATTAGGTAGAGGGGATATGCACCCCATCCATGCCCCAGAATACGGACCACGCCAATGAGCAATGGTGGGTGGTGACATCCTGGGACTTCTAGGACATAATGGTTCCATCTTTGGCGAAAGAGTCCAAAGTCCTATAGAAACACAGATGGGGCTCAGGAGGAGAGAGGGAAGACTGGGGCATACCCAGGCCTCCCTGCTGCCTCTTCTCCCCGCCCTGGGTTATTTACTGTGATTTGGGTGGCACATCTGTGTGTCAGCTGCTCTCTGTGGTCCTGGTGGAGGTGACCTTTTCCTACCAGCATCCTGTTGACCCACCAGATGGGGGGGAGCAGGGTATTTTGGTCTCACTTTGAAATCAAAATTTTCATGGTTTTCAAACCCAAGCCCGTTGCCTGCATGTCAGTTCCAACTCACAGCAACCCTATAGGACAGAGAACTGCGTCACAGGGTTTCCAAGGCAGTAAATCCTTCCTAAAGCAGACTGGTGCTGGAGGAGCAACTGGTGGGTTCAAACCTCCAGTCTTTGAGTTAGCAGCCACATGCTTTAACCACAGTGCTGTGACTCTTCCTCTTGTTCGAGGCCCTTTCACCCTGTAATCTGGCCCAGGTGTCAGGAGATTGCAGGGAGCCGCACCTGATCTCTGCTCTGTCCTGCAGGCAAGCGCTGGAGTACAGCCTGCGCCTACCTGCATCCTGCGCTGAGCCGCCCCAACCTGAAGGCCGAGGTCAGGACGCTGGTGAGCAGGGTGCTGTTTGAAGGCACCCGTGCTGTGGGCGTGGAGTATATCAGGAATGGCCAGAGCCACAGGGTAAGTGTGTCACAGCTTCCAGGAGGGGTGACAGCTCAGACACCAGGAAATGAGGGGACACTGTTCCCAGGGGAGATGCTCATGGGAGCACATGGTCCCTCATCCTGTGCAGGTTCTTGTACCTGTCCTGTGTCGAGGCAGGAGCAGCTGGCAGCAGTGGCGTGCAGAGCTGTCTTAAGACCTCATGAGAGACTACGCTAGGAGGTCAGGAAGCCCCTAGTCTAGGGGTCAGTCTGTGGTAGTCAGGCTCCCACTTTGAGTGTCCCCCATGAGCCACCATCTGCCAGCCCCAGAACAGTGCCCACTGTGAATCCTGCCCCCTTCAGGGCTCTGGCTGAGCAGAAATATACACGTTTACATTTTCAGAGGTTGTAGAAGCCATGAGCCGTGCTGCTTCCACTGAGCTCTGTGTTGGCATCACCACGGTTAGCTCACTCTTGACGGAAGTCACTCATTTAAGTGCCTGTTTTCATTGACCTCATTTAAGCTCTGTAAGCCTGTCCTGAGGACCAGCTTTACCATCTGGCTGTTGCAGAATAGATGAGACTATCCTTTATGCTCACAGTCCAAGCTGCATGCACAGACTGCCCTCAGATCTCCACACTGTGAGTGTCCTTGGCCTCATCCGGGGACTTGTGGGCTCAGATCTCGGCTTCATCACTGCCGTCATGCCTGGCTGCCCCCAGGTACCTCTGCTGCAGTCCTTCACTGCACAGCTACCCTTGTGTGGTCTGGCTGGCCGGCTAGGGCTGGCCCCCTGGTCCGTCAGCAGAGAACAGTTATTTGGAGAAAGCAGTGGGAACATGTGCATCCCTGGCCACCCTGTGACCCGGCGGCCTGCTGTGTGTCCTTCCAGGCTTATGCCAGCAAGGAGGTGATTCTGAGTGGAGGCGCCATCAACTCTCCACAGCTGCTCATGCTCTCAGGTGTGGGGAACGCAGACGACCTCAAGAAACTGGGCATCCCCGTGGTGTGCCACCTTCCAGGTGAGCCCCCTCCCTGCATGGCTGTGCAGAGGAGTTGGCTGCCTCACAACTCAATGCCTTCAAGTCAGAACTGACTCCTAGCTGAGCTCCCACTGAGCTATCAAGGATGGAAATTTCATGGGGTGCAACTGCTCATCCTTCTCCCTCAGAGCTAATGGTGGGTTCGAACGGCCAGAGAGGTATGGCCTTTGGGCCAGTGCACCTCCCTGTGAGTGGCCAGCCCTGCTCAATGAAATGATTACTTTAGCTTTATGAGCAGAGAGTGAGGAGCAGAGTCGTTTTCCTGGGGGCTAGCACACTTTTCTCAAGAGTCCGAGGTCACCCATACATTTCTGGACACCTCACCCCAGACCCCCAGCTTCATTTCCCCATCCTCCCTCCCTTGGCCATCACACCCCTCAGAGGAGAGGACCCCCTGCACTGTCGTGGGCATGTCTCACTAGGGGGCTCTGTTGCAGAGGGGTCCATGCACCCTCTGTACAGGACTCTTACAGCCCTGCCTTTGAAGAAGCCAACTCATTGCTCTGGGGGCAGCTTTACACACTGTGACGGTTTCCCCAAGCCAACAGCCAGCTGACGGACTGCCCGAGGGCCTGGCTCCAGCTCCGAGGGCTGGGTCTTTTCTCTTGTGGGATCCATCAGGAGAGGTCTGTACCATCTAGGATGGTGCCCGGCACATGTGCCCTTGAGCATGGACGAGGTCATGCGGGGCCTGCATCCCTTGATCCAGGTTGTAAGCAGGAGCTGGCTGGTTACAGGGTGGGGGAGAGTATTTTAGAAACAGGAGGATGTGCAAAAGTCTGCTCCTTGGGAGCTTCTCCATCTCCTCTCTCATTTCAGGAGTTGGCCAGAACCTCCAGGACCACCTGGAATTGTATATTCAGCAAGAGTGCACCCGGCCCATCACCCTCCACTCAGCACAGAAGCCCTTGCGGAAAGTCCAGATTGGCCTGGAGTGGCTCTGGAAGTTCACAGGTGGGAAAGGTCATTGGTCGAAATGGTCTGTGGGTAGCTCAGCCTTCTTGCTACCATATGGAGCAAGGACTCAGTCCTCAGGGTTCTGGGTTCTAAATGGAGCTATGCCATTGTCTCACTGTCTACATCCATTCTCTCAGCCTCAGTTTTCTCTTCTGCAAAATGGGAACATATAGCTCCTGCCCACCAGGCTGGCATGGGGAGTGGCATACACAGTGCCCAGAATGAGAGTCCTCAGCCACTCGTCATCTTCCCAGATGGACAGGAAACCACCTAGGGTCCAAAGTCCCAGGGCAAAGGGCATAGAGGGAATGTTCTCAGTGCTGGACTACACAATGAGTGCTCATTTAAAAAACATTTTTAGCTTGTCTTTGAGCTGAATCTCTAAGTTTTGACATTGGCCACAACAAAACAGGACTTTGAAATGGTATTAATTCATTCAGTATATATTTCTTGCACAGCTACTGTGTGCAGTGGAGCATGCGAGGTGATGGACAAGGCCATCAATGTACTGTCAAGTCAGAGCCAACTTTTAGTTGACCTCCAGCAGGTGTTTAGAGGAAGTACATCCCACAGGAGGAGACTGTCCATCTTTCTCTCCTGGAGCAGCTGGTAGAATTGAACCCCCTGCACCAGAGCTCCTTTTTAGGATATTGTTGTTATGTGCCATTGAGTCAAGCATAACTCGTAATGATCCTAGGAACAGCAGATCTGAACCCTGTCCTGTGACATCTTCATCATTCTGACTTTCTACTTTTCTAAGCATAATGTCGTTCCCCCAACATGGCCAAAGTATGTGAGATGAAACACTGCCATCCTTGCTTCTAAGGAGCACTCACGCTGCATTTCCTCCAAGACCTAGCTGCTTGTTTGTTTGTTTTTCCCGGTAGTCCATGGGATGTTCAGTACTCTTCTCCATCACCACAACTCAAAGACATTGATCTTTTTTTGTCATCCTTATTTACTGTTCAGCTCTCAGATGCTTAGCAAGTGATTAAAAAGATCATGGTCTTAATCAGGTGCACCATAGTCTTTAGACTGACATCATTGCTCCTCAGTACTCTGAGGAAAAGGACTCTGACAGCAGACTTTCTCATTTGCAACACTTTTTGGTTTCTTGACTGCTGATGTCAAGCGTGTTGACTCTGGATCCCAGTAAGACGAAATCATTGACAGTTTTAGTCTTTTCTCCATCTATCATGGCATTATTAGCCCAGTGGTGGTGATTTTTATCTTCTTGATGTTGAGATGTAGTCCATATTGAAGTCTTTGATACTCTACAGCAAGGTTTCAAGTTCTCCTGGCTTTGAGCAGACAAGATTATATTGTCTGCATAAAGCAGGTTGTCGATGAATCTTTCTTTGATCTTGATGCCACATTCTTCTTCACAGAGCTCAGGTTCTTGAATGATTTGATCAGCATACAGATCATATAGGTACAAAGAAAAGATACAGTCCTGGCGCACTCTTTTCTGGGTTTGTAAATGATTGTTTACAAAAAGTGATGTCTTGTTCTATTTGGATAACAGCTTCTTCATCTCATATGGCATAATTTCATGTAAGCATAAGTTTGTAAGAGCATAATTCAATGTTCTGGAATTTCCATTCTTAATCTTAGCCATAGTTTCTTAGGATCCACAGTCAAGTGCCTCTGCATGGTCAAGAAAACACAAGTAAGCATTCTTTAGATATTCTCTGAAGATATTCTCTGCTTTTTGTTAAGATTCATCTGACATCTGCAGTGATATTCTGGGTGCCATGCTTTTTCTAAAACCACCCTGAATTTCTGGCAGTGTACTGTTCCAGCCATTTTGGATGATCTTAAGCAATCTTTTGCTTGCATATGGTATTAATGATATTGTTCTCCATTCTGTTGGATCACCCACCTTGGGATTGGGAACAAATATGGATCTCTTCCTGTCAGTTGTCCAGGTAGCTGTCTTCCAAATTTCCTGGCATATATTAGTGAGCAGGTCCAGGGTAGTATCTTTTAGTGGAAACATGTCAATTGGTATCCCATTGATTCCTGGGCCTTACTTGTTTGCCAGTGCCTTCAATGCCACTTAAACGTCTTCCTTCATCCCCATTGGCTCTTGTTCACATGGTACTTCCTGAGATATTTCAGTGTCACTTCTTTTTTGGTACATTGATTCTGTATATTCCCTCCATCTTCCTTGGATGCCTCCTGGATCAATCCTGATTTTTCCCATTTGTAGCATCACTTAGGAAGGCAGTAGAGCTTTGGCCACAGGTGTTCATTGCTCCACCAACCCCATCTATAACCCATGGTGCCAAGTGAGCCAGCTGAGGGAAGAGGACTGGGTCTGAGCACAGGAAGAGGAGGAAAATCAATGACACTTGGCCCTTCCCAAGCCACTCTGACCCTGTTGTCTGCTTTGCTGTCTCAGGATTTTCTAGCTAAAAAGAACCAGTGAGGGATTTCTCCTTGTCACACTTTATAAAAAAGAAATTGGTGGTTTCACTCTGAACCACCCTGAGATCTCCCACCCCAGACACTCTTCCATTTCTTTCTGTCAGTATATATGGAGAGGGAGCTCTGGTGGCACGGTGGTAAGGAATTGCACTGCCAGTTCAGAGGCACGCAGTTTGAATCCACCAGCTGCTCTGTGGGAGAAGCCTGAGCAGTCTCCTTATGTGCGATTTACTGTCTCTAAAACCCACTGGAGGTCAGCTATGGGTTCTGATTTGAGTACGTGGCACTCTCATGGCACAGTGGTTAAGGGCTTGGCTACATTAATCCAAAGGTCAGTGGTCTGAATTCACTACTGTGTCTTGAAATAAGATGTGGCAATGTGTTTCCATAAAGATCATAGCCTTGGGCAGCTCTGCTATGTCCTTTTGGGTCACGGTGAGTTGGAACTAACTTGATGGCAACAGGTTTAAAGTTGGGTGGTGGTTTGTATAATTTTTTTATATACGTGGAGAGAGATTGTTTGACTTCAAGGAATTGGCTGGTGTGATAATGAGGGGCTGGTTACAGAATCAGTGGGTCTGGTGACAGGCTGCGAATCCCTAAAGGCTTAGCTGTGGGATCTTAGATTAAGGAGCAGCAGGAGTACAGAGTAGTAGACTATCTATAGTCTGAAGACCGACCACGCCCTAGGGAATTCCCTTTTCAGAAGACTGACTGTCTCCCACTATCTGTCATTATGGAAGATAATTACACTACTAGTTCCCCTCCTACTACTGCATTATGGAGTAGTGACCATTGTTTGGCCCCTGTGAACCAAGCTGACACTTGTCCTCCTTTGGTCCTCAGGGGATGGCGCCACGGCCCATCTAGAAACAGGTGGGTTCATCCGGAGCCAGCCTGGGGTCCCTCACCCAGACATCCAGTTCCACTTCCTACCTTCCCAGGTGATTGACCACGGGAGAGTCCCCACCCAGCAGGAAGCTTACCAGGTGAGAGGCGTCAGCCTTCAACTCCACAGCGTCCTTCCTCCTCACTGGTCTGTCGGGGAAGATGTTCTTGTCCTCGTAGCAGGCAGCACTCTCCCCCTTCACAGAGCCTTCAGTGTGGTGGGCATGCAGCCTGTCCCCTGCCTTCCAGCTGCTCCCTGTGTCTGGGTGGTGGGCAGGGGTGGGAAGGTCAGGTAGAAGCCTGGCCCAGATATTCTGGGTCCTGAGCACCTTGAGGGGCAGACTCTGCCCCAGGCTGCCAGCCCCGAAGATTTTATTTTATTTTTATTATTAAATTTTATTAGTTTTAATGAACATTTACAGGGATTTTGGGTTTTCATTCCTTCATTGCTGCACCATTCTCTCTACCCTCCTCCCCAGTTTGTTC